CCCTTCCTCTTTCTTCTGGTGGTTGACTGAATTATGAAGATCTCGACATCTGAGGCAAAACACGGAATACAATGGACAGCTCAAAACCAATTAGACGATTTGGACTTCGCAGATGACCTAGCCCGCCTATCGCATACACACGAACAAATGCAGATCAAGACAGCCAATGTAACAGCAGTCTCTACATCAGTAGGCCTCAACATACACAAGGGGAAAACCAAGGTCCTCAAATTCAAAACACAGAACAGCGATCCAATCACTCTTGATGGCGAAACTCTGGAAGATGTAGAATCCTTCACATACCTGGGAAGCATCATCGATGAACAAGCAGGTTCAGATGCAGATGTAAAGGCGAGGATTGGCAAAGCAAGGGTCACATTCCTTCACTTGAAGAGCATATAGAACTAAAAATAACTGTCAAACGCAGAGTCATTATTACAGACGTTAAGACAGTTCTACTGTACGTAGCTGAAACTTCGAGAACTACAACAACCATCATCAAGATGGTGCAAGTATTTATAAATAGTTGTCTACGCAAGATACTCAACATCCATTGACCGGATACCATCAGTAACAGTGTACTGTGAGAGAGAACAAACCAGCTTCCAGCTGAAGAAGAAATTAGGAAAATACTATGGAAATGGATAGGACATACATTACACAAATCACCAAACTGCATCACGAGGCAAGCCCTAACTTGGAATGGTGAAGGGAAGCGGAAAAGAGGAAGGCCAAAGAACACATTACGTCAGAAAATAGCACATATGGAAAGAATGAATAACAACTGGAAAGAACTGAAAAGGATTGCCCAGGAGAGGGTTGGATGGAGAATGCTAGTGAGCGGCCTATGCTGCTTCACGAGGAGTAACAGGCGTAAGTAAGTAAGTAAATGGCGTATGAACCAATTGTTGGTCACCGACTATCATGGGACTGCATCTCCTGGTGTTGCTCCACTGCCTTGTGGATCAGACTTTTAGATTGAAGGCTCCAGGTGTGGCCTTTTAAGAAAACCACCTACTTCGGTTTGGGCACCCGGACAGTATCTCAGCCCTCACAGAAAATAAATGATTTATGTGGCTCATATCTATTTCGTGCCTCCTTGCACCTATATTTATGTGTTTAAACAAATAAATAAATATAATGTAACATCAAGAGTACAACAATGATAACTTTTACTAATACATTTTTTTGTAGTTTTAAACAATCATAAAGATGAATTAAGAATATTTTCTGTAGATATACTTCATGTTTCTTACTTATATTTTCTTTTTTTACACATTACTCTATTATTGTACAATAATTCTTGACGAATATGTTTTTCTACAATGTACTTTCACCTCCTGATAATAAGGGCGACCGAACTAAGAGCTAGGATCTCGATCTTGAATTCCAATATTCCTTCATGTATATCTTTTTACTTTTCAAAATATATTCGAAATGTTTATTTTTTCTCATTATGATTGTGACTACATACATTCAGTTTCTTTTGTTTTGGATCCTATTACTTTCATATCGTTTTGTCAATGTGAATTGATAATGTACATTTGTGTTATGCTCTATGTTGATTAAATTCCATAGGACAATACTCAAATTTGGGTCATTTCATAGTGATACAGTAACCATAAAAAATCTTTCGACCTATTATTGTAATATAATTTAACGTCGATATAGACAGAAAGAATCATTGACCCACATTACATTGAGAATGCAATTTTATTTAATTTTTTGAATACAAAATAAAGGTAATTCTGTCGTTATCATCTATAGGACGTCATAAATTTCTTTGACAATGGTCTATTTGGTTAAGCGCCTGGCGTGAGACTGATAGGTCCTGGGTTCGAATCTCACGGGGTGCGGGATCGTGGATGTACACTGCTGAGGAGTCCCATGCTGGGACGAAACGGCCGTCCAGTGCTTCCAGGTTTTCCATGGTGGTCTAGCTTCAATTGACTCATGATTTCAATCTGTGAAATGAATACTCCTCAAAGACTTTTGTTTTATCTTCATATGGTAACGTTGTCACAACCTTTATATGTTTCATCGAGTAAACTATGGTAATAAGTGGTTGATACAATTGCAGTCTAGTATAGAAAATTACATAATGTGTCGTGTGTATTAGTCATCCTATACGCTTTATAAGTATGTGTATGTTAGTACAACAACCTGTCCAAGGTCATTCTAACTGCAATCGGTTGACGCAATAAATTTTCTCCTTTACTGTAGCCAATAAAAATCAATTTAGACCATTATGTAACAAAATGTTTGAGTAGGATTTTACACCAAAAACCGGCATACAATCTTTTTGTGTAGTGACTAGTCATTTTAATAATAACATGAAAATTTAATAAAAGTAATAATAATAATAATAATAATAATAATAATGAGGCAATACTATGGCTAATTAAAAGCTCTTGTTTGTACTTAAACAGCAACATCATTTGTATTTAAACTGATGAAACTATTCGGTTGTTTAAGCTATAGCGATTAAAACTAAGTATGAATATGTTACCAAGTCATCGAAAGTTATAAATTCATTTCTAGGGATGTGTCATCTTTCCTAATTAATTTGCTGATTCATTTTATATTATTGTGAGAATAATATGTATATACTAGTCGCTGTGATTAATTTTCACTCATATTTTTCTCTATGGTTCCCTACAACATATCGTTATTGTTACCCACTAAGTCTGCATCTGCTACTGTTGATCAGTTCAAAATGTATATGACTTCACCCAGTGATTGTACGTTTAGATTTCATTGTAGTGATTAAAATGTAAATCGATTACACGTAGTATCGTAAATGAATAAAATCATTATTGTCGCCGTATGTAACATGTTTAAAATGTTAATTATAACTTTGAATCAAAAATTAATGTGTTGTCGATTGAGTTATATTGGAATTGTGTTCCATGTAGAATTTCAATGATTTGCTATACAGGCATGCTTTTAACAAAAGTTTGTAAAATGTAAACCATTGCATTAAAACAGGCTAAGGTAATTAGTTTAAATTAATCTCAGTAGGCTATTTTAGGTAAATAATGGTTGACACTGATTGATACTTAGTAACTAATGTCAAATTAAACCCATCACCTGATTATCGAAATGATGATCATACCACTAACCGTAACGTTTGAAAGATGAGTTACCAATCTATTACAGGGTTTCTTTTAGCTAAAAATAAAACCAGATATCGTACTTTTTTGATTTGTCATATGAGAAACAGTTATTCCAAAAATAAAAATCATTGTGGAACTAATGTACCTTAAAAAATTGCGTATATAATTTCTTTTCTTTGTTTTTTAAGCACTAGTTATACCTACATCACATTTAGTATTCTCTCATGATAAATCAACGTATCACATTGTTAAGAAGTAAAATTTTCCAGTGATTAATTTTAGAAGTACACTTGATTTATCTTTAGATATCAATCTAAACTCAACAATCTTCACAACCTTATACTGATAACTATCATATGCTCACTAGTGACTAGCTTCAAGATGAATTCCCTGGAGTTCTAATAAGAAACCGTGACCAGTGGAGTTCAACCGTATCTTTAAATTGTTAGGTACATATAGTACGATAGCAGTAAAACTTCTATAATATATTTAGGAAATTGTCAATTGTTATAACTAATACAGATAGAACGATGGGAGAATCAGTGTTTATTTTTCTATGTCGTACAATATTTTTGTCAAATTATTTTATTACACTTTACTGCATTGATAAGTGGGAAAACTCTACTTCGAAATTGCGACTCAACCAAATAGAAAGAATTCTGAAAGTCTATCTGTCAGAAGAATCTTATTATTAGGATTATTTAGAATTGACTTCTGCTTGAATAGTGAATAACATACCAGTACGACTCCGTACATATTTATAAAGACAATACTTTTTGATAGAATTTTTTTTAATATATCTGCCTCTTTTTATATCGGCTTCGGCTTAAGTATTTCAAGGGTAGTATTTTAAAACATTAAGTGTAACTCAAACACCAGAGTGTAGCTTATTGATATGTATAGTAAACACACTTACTGTTCCGAATAACAGAAAATATATTTTCTGCCCCTTTTTTAATTCCAGTTCAGTAATAGACCATTATAGGTCTTTGTATGAGATGTGAAGTTCACTCTGTATTTAGTTATATCAGTCAGCTAATAATAAAAGAAAGTATTTCACAACTAATAGACAATGTCAAAAGAATTTGTCAGTGTTCAACTTTTATTGAAAGCATATGTTTGACATTGCTTCAAAGCGATTAGTGCATAATTCGTTATAGAAAAAAACATTGTTAGATTACTTTTATATATTATTTTAATGGAAGATCTTCTGAAGATATTATGCGAAATACCCACCGTAACAATTGTCAGAGTCTCATTATTCAAACTGATTTACCATATTCCAATGAAGTACGATATTTATGCAAAATACAATAACATAGATGATCCCAAGTCTTTGAAGAGTTACTCAACAGACCTATGGATTGTGACTAACCATTTGCTTATGAGGCAAAAGACATCAAGATAAAAGATTGTAAATGTTTGGAATGTAATACATTCTAACGCCTTAACAATAATCTATCAATCAATAATCCATAAAAACTAGCAGTAAAGGGTTGTGAAGATTGTAAAATTTCCTTAAAATCATAAATCAATCTAAGTTATATCACTATTGAATACTTATAAGTACTAGATCACATCGTTTTGTTTAAATATGCAACTACTCAATAGTGAACATGAACAATTTCTTACGTGGGAATTCAACCAAAGACACAGGATTCATAACAAGTTTAGGCATTCAATTTCTAAGTTATATTATATTATCATGAAATAGATTGTATGCATTTTATTATATTCTTAGTTTAACTATCAATTTTATTGAAGCAAACATTTACTAAGCAAGATACAATTAAGATATGATAATGTAGAATGAAAATCTATTATAGTTATATTGTCTAGACTTGAAATTCTTTTTTTTCTTTTTTTTATGTTTCTATGTTACAGAATGTTATTCTTGATAAGAATGAAAATGAAGTTTTCTATTTAACATCAAATAATTCACATCAATTGACACAAACTATCAATAATTCCCAAGGTGAGTTCATTAGTATCATATTTGAATATTTTATTTTAAAACATTAAATTCAATATAAGTTTCCATTATTGAGATGGTGGAGAAAATTTGCAGCTCAGGTGAATGATTTTATCTGAAGTTTGTACTGATGATGTCGTTCAGAAGAACGATAAAAACTCCATAACCAAACCATCCAGCTCAAAGACACAAAACTCCATCAAAAAATGTTTCCATTATTATTTACTTTATTCATTTTTTTTCTTTTTTTCTTTTTCTTCTATCAATTACTATTTTGAGTAGTAATATTATAGAAATCAAATCAATCAATCATATCTCACTATAGTCTTATTACATTGTCATAATCATTTGAATTTGTCTAATGATTATGAAAAAGATAAATCTACATTTCTAATTATTCATAGTTAAAATCAATTTTAAACAAAAATATTTATTCACTTATACAAATTGTTTTGTTAAATACCTTAATAAATAAATAAATGAAATAAATTTGTATCATTCATGGTAATAGAATTCATTGATGATCATTGAAATTATTGTGATAATACTTACTTACTTACGCCTGTTACTCCTAATGGAGCATAGGCCGCTGACCAGCATTCTCCAACCTAATCTGTCTTGGGTCTTCCTTTCTAGTTCTGTCCAATTTTTGTTCATTTTTCTCATGTCTATCTGCATTTCTTGATGTAATGTGTCCTTCGGTTTTCCTCTCCACCTTTGGCCTTGAGGATTTCATGTGACGGTTTGTCTTGTGACGCAGGTAGGTGCTTTCCTCAACGTGTGTCCTATTCACTTCCAGCACTTCTTCTTGATTTCTTCCTCCGTTGGGATCTGGTTTGTTCTTTCCTACAGTTGGTTGTTGCTAATAGTGTCCGGCCAACGAATCCGAAGTATTTTGCGTTGACATCTGTTAATAACCACTTGTATCTTCTGGATGATGGCTTTCGTAATTCTCCAGGTTTCCGCCCCAGTAGACAGTAGAACTGCCTTGATATTTGTATTGAAAATCCTGACCTTTGTGTTGGTTGACAGTTGTTTCGAATTCCAGATGTTCTTCAGTTGTAAATATGCTGCTCTTGCTTTGCTGATTTGCGCCTTCACTTCTGCATCAGATCTACCGTGTACATCAATGATGCTGTCCAGATATGTAAAGGTTTTTACATTTTCTAAATCTTCTCTGTCAACTGTGACTGGATTGGTGCATGCTGTGTTGTATCGGAGAACTTTGCTTTTGCCTTTGTGTATATTGAGACCTACTGCTGCTGAGGCTGCTGCTACACTGGTCGTCTTCTCCTGCATTTGTTGTTGCGATTGCGATAGGAGAGCCAGATCATCTGCGAAGTCTAGATCGTTCAGTTGCATCCTTGCTGTCCCCTGTATCCCGTGCTTCCCTCCAGATGTTGACGTCTTCATGATCCAGTCGATCACCAGGCGAAAGAGAAAGGGTGAGAGTAAGCAGCCTTGCCTGACACCGGTCTTTTTAGCTCCATGCACAATTTCGCAGTTTAATCCATCATAGGAATTCCGTATGATATTAACTATCTTCTGAGGCACGCCGTAGTGTCAGAGAAGCTTCCATAGTGTTGTCATGTCCACGCTGTCAAATGCTTCCTCATAGTCAATGAAGTTTATGTAAAGTGATGAATTCCATTCAATTGATTGTTTCACAATGATCCGTAGATTGTGATAATAATGAACAGTGAATTAATTCTGGTTAGCGTGTTTTTAACTAGTTAGTTTTCCATGGGATGCAGTCGCCGACCCCATATCTAACCCTCCTCCTTTACCCGGGATTTGGACCGGCTGTAACTCTGGGAGAGCTACAGGTGGAGTTAAACAGTGAATTATACTAGTAAAAATTGATTTTTAGCTCGCTAGTGAAGTTCTTAAGGTCCTAGACAAAACATATAATCTGTTCAGTTAGAAATATTAAAATCAAGACAACAATAACATTGCGTACTAGTTATAGTGTATTTAAAAAATGTGGCTAAAAGTGAAATTTTCGAATCAACTCATTAGCCGGAAAATATTATATCCCTTCTTCAAGAATTAAAAGTCATTGATTTGATTGTTTGTCCGAAGAGTCTCAAAATGAGATGAAATAGTTATCTAGCCCTGCATACTATTCAATCGTGTATTCTTTTTTTAATTGAAATGTAAGTTTGATAAGTATCATGTTGTTTGATTGTGGAAAGTCTTCAAATATATTTGAAGCAATATGACCCGACCGTCGTTGCTACCTTGACGTGGTGATCGGGCTTGCCTATAGTGATGAAGCAACTGAGCTATACTGACTGGAATAATTGTTCCTCAAGGTCCTACCACGTCAGAAAGGTCGATTGAAGAGCGCTAAAACTAAAAGCAACAAACCCAAGGTTCGAAGGCGAAGTCGTACTGCTGACTGTACAGAGATGTGACAGCAGTAAGGTGTTTCCTTCAGACAACCAGCATGACAGCGATGCTACCTTCCCACAAGGAGGGGTGAGGTTAGAAAAGGTCGACCCTAAAAATGCACACCTCGCCTTATCCCACGGATATCCGTCTCCGGTGGTAAGGTCTCAACAAGCTAACACAAAAATTACCCATAAAAAGGTCGTGTGTGACCGACTTCATGCAGTTGTCCGTTGGGTACTGCGGTCACGCTCTCAGGTCACTAAGACCACATCTAATTCAATTTCCTTTTCAGGCACCTCCAGAAGAACCCTTCCATGGTGTGGGCAACCGGGAATTGATAACCGCCCTCATACCTCTAACAGCACTCAAGAAAGCAATATGAAAGGATAATAGATTTTCAAAACGGTTAAATGTCAATTTTTTGCTCGTAACTTGACAATTAAAAATGACTAAAATACTTTGATGAATTGTTTGAACCAACAAACACTTGTACATAGCTAAATGTGTTCAAGAATTACTGAACATAATAAAATAATCTCTCTTGTGTTTGTATACATGTAGAAAACTATAGAGTTGTAAAACTAACTCAAATTTGATGTCAAAACAAGTTAACAGATAATCGACGGATTCACAAAAGCTTTCTTACGACTTATTTCATTTTAATTCATCACTTTACGGTGTCAGTAAACTAATATTATACTGTATCTAAATTCGATTATTATTTCATTCCCAATTATATTTACTGGTTTTACTCACAGTTGTAAAAATACAAACAAATAAAAGATGTTTTGAGTAAGGTGTATACTTCAGTTATGTGGCGCATATGTATTTGGTGTCCGTTTGTACTAATATTTTGTAAAGTCTTAGCTTGGAAGTACACAAACATCTTGCTTGTACAGTAATCAGTTCTCTGATATAAACAAAACATAAAATCGATGCGTTCCTATAGTTACACATAGTAATACTCATATCTTATTTCCTATGCTCAGAAATGCTTTTGATCTAGAATTCTTATGCATAGCCTCTTTTTGTTAATCTGATGATTTTGCAAGATTATTTTTCAATTGTATTGCCGATATCCTTTTTTGTTTTATCGATATAATGCAGTGAGTTACTTTCGACTAATGTTTACCAACTACTTCATACGTATTTCTTATTCTTAGGTTAACTGAAGATGTCATTCTGTAATAGTTGTTACTTTTTAATGGCTATGAAACGTTTCATTTTATTACACAACAACTATAAACTGTGTAGAGGTACTACTTATCAGTTATTCATTTTATTTGATAAGAACGTCACTTTATTCTTAAATTGTTATGATTTAAACTAAATGTATGGAAAGTATTTCTTTCGATCTGATCATCATACTTATCTATATATGTATACAATATCGAGATTTAGATTGTATATATGTATGGGACATACAAATGACATTGGTACTACGTATGTTCTTGGTCGAAGTATATGTTGTTTTATAAGATGCATTTCTGACTGATTTAAATATCACATTTTTAGTTCATCTACTAATTTTTTGATATATATCACAATGTGATAATTTTTTCTAAAGTTACGCAACCTATCTCTCCTGGCAATGACAATACAAAGAAGACAATAGTATCAACGGTTCTGAATGGGAATGATTCAGCAGTAGAGTCTTCAGTAGTACAAACAGTTAGCAATTATATCATTAGAAATGAAACACCATGTAATGTTTGTGAACCAACTAAAAATGGTCAGATTAAAGATTGTCCAACAAATCATTCTTCTTTTAAATACGATCGACGTGATAAAGGTGGTCCCATTTCTAGTCATACTCGGTTACGTTATTCTAAACGTCAACAGGTGAGTGATAACTTTGCTTCCGTGTTATTTAGTACCATAACACATGTTTATTTAAATTATCCCCGTTCTACTATTATTAAGCAAAATGCTTATTACCTAAGTAATTGTAAAGATATTTTGTTTGGTAACGTAAGTGTCATATATTCAAACTGTATTTTTGTCGGCTAAATAATTCATGAGGGTCAAAAACTACTGTTCAAAATAAATTATCGTAAGTGAACAAATATGCAGTAAGTTTTTCTCTCATGAGACGTTTAATAACTTATTAAGATTCTGTAAATCTAGACTGAGTGTAAAGAAAATGTTAATCTGTATCTTACAACTACCTAGCTATATTTTAATGAAAAACTCTGTTTTTCAAAGAACAGTTTTAGATTGGATGCATGATTTGTATATTCGTACAGAAACCTTCGAAGTTTGTTTCTTAAACTTGAAATAAATCTCACGTTTCCTAACTGATATGATGAAGACAACAAAACTGATTTCTGAGGTTTGGAAATTTAGAGAAAGGAGTTTAGCTACTCATGAGTAGTGTATTAGTATATTACAATGAAAATGATTTTTTTGTTCGAAATCCACTAGTTGTAAAATGTTTCGTAAATACTCTTTCAAAACTAATATTTGAATTTAAATAATTTGGGGTTATTATTCATTAGAAATACTTCCAGGATCTGAATTCAACTACTTTACCGTCACGAAAATACTGTTAGACTATGTTATCATTCGACCATATATGATGAATAAAACCTCTTTTAAATGGAATCAAACTAAACTTTCAAAGTAAATGTTTTTTTTATTTCAAGGAGTCACTGATGCAAAGTAATGAAGCTTTCTGATTTCAATCGAACCCGGGACATTCTTATAGTGTCATTAACGCTTTATCTTATACTTCATTCAACCATAAAACGCCTCTGTTATACTAATACGACCTAAATGCAAACAATTCATTCACGGAATAGTAAACATTATTGTCCCATCCTGATTGATAATAATAACAAAATATGGGCAAAAATTACTCTCTATGCCTCCATTCATTTTTAATTCAGAGTCAATTGTTACATATAATCATCCGTAATCAAACTGATTCACTCCATAGAACATTTTGCGTAATAACAATAATAATAATAATGGTAATAATAATAATAATAATAATAATAATAATAATTACATGATATAGAAGCAGGTACCAATTAAATTATAACACCAAACATCTATTCGATCTACCAGGTTTCTAGCAATTCAAATATATTTGATGTTCAAAATACGAAACAGGCAGGGGAGCATATATTAACAACATGCCTTGACAATCAATTCATTTAAATACTGTTTAGAATAGTTGTCATTTATGAATACCAATGCAAAGATTTCTCTCTTCAGCACTTTCATGAAAAATTGACCGATTTATTACTAACATATCACTTCTGCTCAAATATCATAAGTAACAATTTTTTAAAATATCTATGATCGAATATTAACCATCTTCATAGATCCTCTACCTTTTGATAGAGCAACATTTACAGTCTTAAAATAATCCGCGAAAAACTGGTATTCAGTATATCCAGAATTTGATTAGTAGACTATTAACTTGCTTATAATTATAATTAGAACAAATTGGGATAGTTGGATGATAATTTTGTATTCATTGAGCCATAGATCTGTCTTCTAATATAAGTGAACCTTTTTAACAGTTTATCTAATTTTAGATTACCCATTGATATAGACTGGTTCTGAAGCAATATCCAGATTTAATCGTTCATAACGATATTACCTACATAATTATGTCAAAGTTACACTATACAAACATAGTTTATTTAGTGAAATATTGGTAAATGCATAACATACCATGAACAGTAATTGAAAGTACTTTTTTTTAAAAAAAAACTTGGACGATATTTACAAGCAATAATCTTTTTGTAAATGAATTAATTCATTAACCGATGATTCCTCAAAGTGAGGATCGATTAACATTTAATTAACTTCATATCACTGTTTCTCATTTTGATATTTAGTGTCATGCTGAAAACTTACAAGCGTCTTCTCAATCGCATATATATATATCGTTAATATGGCTATGTTTAATAAGCTCGAAACCTCATTCGCTCCATTTTTATTATCAATTTTATTATTATTATTATTGGCTTTATTCAATATTATATATTTGGTACAAAGTAAAATTCTCAGCACAAATTATTTCGAAAAGTTTCATTTTCTTCTTTCTTGATCGATTCTTGCGATAAATATTGAATGGTCTCCAGCTAAATTTTATTAGTTCAGGAATCAACATCTAAATAATGTATATTCTTTTCGATGCATATTACCAGCAATTACATTGTCTCTGATTAGGCGATTCTGTAACTTGGACAGCGAAATGTCGTAAACTTGTCTTAAACATTCTTGAATCAATTATGCGACTAATGGGCATAATGATGTGTTAAAACAAACAATAAAATAGATAACTTGTTGAAATATTCAGATGGGCTGAACAAGTAGCCTAGATCTATTAACCAGAAAATATGTTACCATGACTAATAACATTAAATGTTTTAATTAAAATATTAATAGTTTTTTTATATAAAGTATTATTAATTGTTTTATTGTTTATTTTAACATCTTAACTGATCAATTCGATCATTTCGATTACATTTAATTTTAGATAGAACATGATAGAAATGTTCATAGTAGTTCTGGTTATATAACACCAGATTCATATTTATCAGAAAATTGTAATAGATCTCAAACAAATGAATATCATAGTCAAAATTTCAATCAATACCATAATGATAAAAAGTTGATTAATCAAAGAAATCATACACAACTATTATATCATCCTCATAAAAATAGTTTATATAATGAAGATATATCTAATAAAATAACACATGTTGGTGTTGCTTTATGTATGCCTTCAGAATGTACTTTAAAATTACCTAAAAATTTTCAAACTTCACATAATTATCAACCACAATCAACAAATACACATTGTCAAAATTCAAGTATAACATTTTCTACTGATTATTTAAGTGAAGATGTCAGTAGAAAAAGTGAAATTCGGAATATAGATACATTGAAGTATATGAAAATGAATTCACATAAGGATACTGTTAAATGGGAGGAATTAAATTCTGATGATTTAATAAGAATTAATCAATTAAGAACAGTAAGTCAAAATGAATTAATTCCTTCTTTTGTTCTCAACATATACTGATTACATGATTGTTTCTATCAGTTACATATATATATATATCTTAATTCCTAGTTTGGTGGAATTTAAATTTTTGAAAGTTCATTTTTCCACCTCACGGACTCTGTTAAGAGCCAACATAAGATCCGGTAACAATTAAAATCTAGGACCTATCCAAATTGCTTTAATTCTGTTATCTGTTATTTTGTTAATAAACGATGGCTCTTACATGTATAAAAGATCGTAATATCATTTTTTCTTGTTCATATTTCCACAATAACCTTTGATGTTTTTGATTAATTGTTCTTACTTTTAGTTTACTAATTCTGTTTTGTTCCATGGTCATTGTTAGTAGCTATATGTAAATTTTTTGTTCCTGTATACATTTTTCTTTTGAATACTATGGTTCCTTTGAACTCCTACCTTAACTTTGTGTTTCATTGCGTTGGAATTATTGTTGATGTGTTGTGTGCCAATCATTCGTTTCATTGAGTTTACGTAGATCTGATTATGTATCATAAAAATATCCTAAATCAGTCGCAATTAGTAACTAGTGTAGGCCCAATCGCAAAGTGAAAAAAATTCACAATTCACCGTCGCTAGATAGGAGGTGAAATAACAAAAACTTTAAAGATAATCATGCGCTAAAAGTAAAGAAAACATGATTAGAGTAAAACGAATTAAGTTTAAAGATTTTAAATGTATTTAATAGTAATCGTCATCAAGCTCAAACTTAGGGGAAGATGATGAGTTACTCCATGTGAAACAAGTTTTAGGCTATTTCTTATTAGATCTTTAACGATAAATTGAGCTTATTATTTATCTATCAATCAGTAAGTCTAAACCCCTGAATACTGACTTAAAATCAGTAACATTTGATGACTTCATGTCAAATCTTAGTAGTTTTTGTTTTCTCTTTACATACTTTCAGGGGTCTTATTTGCTATTTTAACTTCACAATTTTAGTTATAAATGGTAGTTTAAGACATTTTGAACTTTTTCAATAGTTGAGATCATGAGTCAATTGAAGTTAAATCACCTGGAAGCACTGAACGTCCGTTTCGTTCTATTGTAGCACTTCTCGATATTGCACGTTCACAATCGCGCCTCGTGAGATTCGAACCCAGGTTTTCCATGGTGATATAGCTTTAATTGACTCATGATCTCAACTACTAAAATTACCTTGATATCCACAAAATCCCCTTCTGACATTTGGAACTTATCATTTATTTTAAGTATCATCTGTTTGTGTAAACAAAAACTAACTTTGGAAGCACTGGACGGCCGTTTCGTCTTTATGGGACTCCTCAGCAGTGCGCATCCACGATCCCGCACCACGCGGGGCTCGAACCCAGGACCTACTGGGTTTTCAGGTTTTCAATGGTGGTCTAGCTTCAACTGACTCATGATTTCAATCTGTGAAAATTTCTAAAAATCTCCAAAAACCCCTTCTGATAAAAACTAACTTTGTTAAAAAGTTTATGGGTATCATGTTAACCGAATACTGGATGAAAAGATGTGATTTATAAAAGACTGTTCTATTGATTTTGATAAATCAAGACCATTTCGTCTTAGTACCTTTTATATAATCTTCCATATTTAGACAACATAATGATGATAAACATTTTATTCATTTCTTAATAGTTCTTAATCAATCTTTCTTATTGATAATGATTTTCATAGATAATCGATAAAGAATTAAATATTCGTCTACCAATTAATCCAAAACACTTAATTATTGAATTGAGTACTGGTGTTATTTTAATTCAGTTACTGAATAAATTTATCGGGACAACATCAACTATCAAAGTGAGTCTATTTTAACTTGTGATTCATTCATTTGAATTGATTGTTTATACCATCAAATGAAAAACAGTTACATTCTCTATTCCTTAAATAAAAAATTGATAGTTATTGTTTGGATTGTTATTACATGTAACAATATCTATCAAAAGTATCTTAAGCAGAGACGGATAGTAGCAAAAGATGGAATCCAAAATGTTTGTTTCATCCTATTTAGTACTTGTCAAATGAGTGTACCTCCATCGGAGTTGATGCAATCTCTGGTATTTAAACCCAGTGCATTTCGCTGCACACTCCAATGTGTTAACCATCATCTTCCTGAATCTAGATAACTACTGGTTTGTAACTTAATGGCAATCTGGACACAGTCTGCACAGACACTGGGTTCGAATAACAGAATGAATATTAACTTAGGGAAGCAGGTATATATAGAAGACAAGTTCCAAATATAACAAAACGTGCTTCCTGGGTTCCACTGCTAGTTACCTTCTATCTCTGTTTAGAATGCTTGTGACTAAGTAGCGACATCGAGACAATTCGCGCTAAGTGCACATATGCCGAAAGAAGCTGATAAATTACATTCTTAAATGTCAAGGTGAAGAATCAAACGACTAAGACAAATAAATATGTATCAAAGTTTTATTAACTTTGGAGAGTTTCTAACAGTGGGATTAAGGAAGGGTGTTTCATTCTATTTAGTCTGGTTGGTTGAATTTACTGGCACCTCAGTGTTCATGTATACACTGAGATTTGAATCCTACCTTTCACTCCAAGCATCAATGCGTTATCCAAACAGCCATTAGGTTATGAATTTTATTTGAAAATGTTTAGATCTTTTCATTGTAGATGTTAAGCACTGCAGATGATCAGTCTTCATTATTATATATATCTCCTGAAAGGATTGACACAATATTTCTACTAACCATCTTCTGAATGAATGGAAATACTGAGGCAATTCACCTACGTTGTTCGTATGCTATTAGTGGCTAATCAATTACAGTCCTTAGCGTCGATAACGGAGAGATATAAACCCTCACAAAATAGTCTGAATCACATTGTTGAGAATAAAGAAAGCGCATACTTAGTCATGAAGATGATATCTTTATGCAGTTATCACACTTTACAGTGAAACACTCGTGAAATAATATCAAGGCTAAGTTAGTGTCCAAGGAATGGTGGAACACAGTGACTTGACAAGTTACCAGGCATCCCTTTCTCTATCTCCTCACGATATCACTTTTATTGTGTGGCTCAGGCATACTCCGGTATTCGTTTGCACCAATATTTACATGTTTATTAGTATTGTTATTTGTAAATTCTAGGTTACTTACTGTTAAAAAGAAGGTATAAACCTATAAATCTATTTATCAATATATATATATATATATATATATATATATATATATATATATATATATATATATATATATATATATATATATATATATATATATATATATATATAACCCCTATTACAAGGGCATGTGGTTAATCTTTTAACTGAACAACGTATTCGAATTAGCTCAAAGTATACTCATATTTCTTTAACTACTAACAGATATAGTCTCAAAACTATGAGAGGATATATAGAAATCTGTCAATAAATGAATTCAATACAAATATCGATCAAACATATAGAAATTTTTATTCATTGTTAGATATTTAAGACAAGTCATGCAATGTCGAGTCACTGAGACTAGTGACCACATTTCAACTTGGTCGATAGCATTCGATCTACCCTAAGAAGGGTCTGACACATATGACATCGATCACCATCCAGTGATCAATCAATTGTGAAGACAAGTTATTTGATTCGAAATACTATGCTTATTTCCTGATTGTATACTAATGTTGATGATGTTAGGCTAAGGAAACTAATATGTTGGGTGGTTGAAGATAGTTGTCAGGAAACCCTAGACCGAGGTTAGCAAAGAGGACCTGGAATCCAAAGGGAACTGGTACTCCCTGTGGTATGCCAAGTCACGCCGCTCGACATCATAGTCGGTTATCATTGGTCTATTTTGACTGTGGTTAGTACATTTCATCCATCAGTCTTCTGAAAGCTGGAAAAAAGATCCTACATTTTTGTCAACACTAAACCTACCATATATTTGTGTTTAGTGAAACTACGAACATTCAGTGTTTATGGCTTTTACCAGAAATAATCTTCACTAGAATAATTAACTTATCAACTTATCGGTCAATTACAATTTATGGATCATAAATAATTTTCTCATATAAGTATTCGTCTGTACCAAATTGGTCTTTTACCAAAGAGGACTTATAAACTGTACTCCTAGATGTCAATATGTATTCATAGTCAGTTTTGTTCACGTCCCCTATGAAGATGTGCAAATTTTTGATCGGGATTGTATCGTTTATCGAATGGAACCTATTTTTAAATTAGTCGAACCTCCACAGTCTCTAATTAGGATGAAAATTTCTACTCTGTTAGACATAATCTACTTTATGAACAATCCACAATGGTGATTATTTGATTATTGCGAGTACAAATCAATCTATTGAAGAATATAAAAGACTAGAATTCAAGGTACATAAAGTTTCGTCAACCTAAGTAATAAATCTACTATCAATATAAAATTGTGGGGACTGTTGAATTTTAGTGAATATCATAAACCGATTAGTGAACCGATCATTATTTAAAACCTGGAAGCACAAGACGGCAGTTTCGTCCTAGTATGGGACTCCTGAGCTGTTCGTAGATTTATCCCTGACTTTACAACGACTGAAATCTTACAAATAAGAAATATATGCAAAAGTGTCAAAAAATTGAATAAAATAATAGTCTTTTGTTGATTTTTCTCTTTTGTCTTAAAAAGCTTTTAACCACTAAACAGACTTCGATAGTTTAGTCTGAGTTATTACATGTATTGCTATATAGTAGTGGGGTATATGGACAAATCTATACATCAACAGAAAATAAAGTAAGACTTCTTAGTATCTAGACGTTCTAGAAGCTGGCTGTTATATGGTAAAATCGGTTAATTACTAAGGAAATGCATTCATATAGCTATCAAATTGATGAACTATTCTTTAACCCTGCTTCAAATTTTATATATTTACTTTCATATTACTTGTGAGTAACTCAAAACGATTTGAATGATTATATTAAATCTAATATAATGAAAATTTTATTTATATATGTAAATAATATTTGAATTAGATTCCCACTCTTTAGTCTCAGAAATTTATAGGTTTCCAGAAAATTCGTCATTTACATACGACCAACATTTGATTAATGTATAGATGATTACAGGAATTTTATAAACTGTTAGTTTTTGGAGCCTATTTCGTTTGTCTCTAGTTCAGTTAATCTAAATTTTATGTATGAAGTACTAAACTAAAACTATCATTTTCTTTACGGTCATAAGTCTAATAATATTCATTTGTGTGTAGTCGATAGAATTAAACAAGAGATTCCAATCGATTACCTACAAATACCCAACTTCAAAAATGTCTACTATAATGATTCATTTTGTATTGTTTGTTTGTGTCTTCCTATTGATGTTTAGGACTGTAGTTGATCAGTCTCTTATTGGAATATGTACATCCTGTGCAGATTGCCTAGATATTGCCTTAGTTCACAAGCATTATAAACAAAGATGGATGGTGACTTACAGTGGATTCCAAGACGCGCGTTTCGTCCTAATTTGAACTCCTCAGCCAGATATACTTGCATCTCAGAGTTGATGTTCACTCTGGGACACAAACCCAGTACCGTTCACTTCAGACGCCATCGCTTTAGCGACTCAGTCACTGTACTGTTAATTCACTTGAACTAGTGACTACGTTACTACATAATCGATAGAATTCAGTCAACACTATGTACTAGATGTTACATCAATTACATTTAAGCGGTGAATTAATGCAAAATCAACCTGTCATTCTAGTTGAATAAATTTCTAGCTTAACCTTATATTCAATTACCTTATTTTATGTGTTTTTACTACAAATTGCAATTAAATATCATTCACTTTTTCGAATTCCAACTGTTATGACCTTACCTATACGATCATCGCGAAATACGATTGCCAATTTAGATACGCTGACTTATACGATCAACTAATGACGCATACACCTGTATGAACAGCCTATAGTCCCAATTGGTCTTTTTCCCGCCTAACCATACCTGTTAAGTCCAGAACGCCAATCTCAGCCTCCACGATACCAATCGTATATTTCAAACATACTGGGTTTATATACAAACAAATCAAACCATATCACACCATAAAATAGAAAATATCATTTGTACAAGATCTAGCCAAAAATAGCTGTGATTGTGAGAAGCTGCTACTACTAAATTAGGAATATTTCAAAATTGGCAAATTGTATGGTAATAGTTAATAGGTCAAATAAAAGCTTATAATGAAAAGAATATAAATATATCCACTTAATAGTAATACAATAAGATACATGTAATATTAGTCCATAAATAGATCCCAACGGTTACCTTTTATTGTTCGCATCGGGATATAATATCAACCACTAATTAAAGTATATAAATAATAAGGATAATTGAAACTATTCTCCTCTTATTTAGTCAGTCATTAAAGGTATTGTCCATAGATTGTAAAATGTCATTTAGTATTATGATTTATAAATGGTTGAATCAAGGATGAATTATTATAATTGTTAATTGACATTAATATGATACGCTACTGTAATTAATTTCATTATTTATACTAATAAATTGAGTCTGTTTTCGCTAAATGCGTTAACTTACATAAATTAGAAACCATAATTTGTGTTAGATCGTTGGAGTTTATGTGCCCGTTAATCTGACTCCATTTAGATTGTATGAATGTTTGTTATCGCTGATTCTCGTATATCATCGTCGACTTAAATCGCGTTATCCAATAACGGAATTAAATAAGTCGAATAACGAGAATTGACTTGAGAGTACATACATTTCGAATATGAAGCGAATAAAAGAGTAGAGCAAAATGACACGTATGGAAGATAACTGGGAAGCCAACTCCATTTCAAGCCGGGCATTACTCAATATTTATAGGCAGACAAAATAAACTACAGACATGTGATGAGTCATGGGACATGAAGTGTACACACATATACGCTCATGTGAAAACAGTCAAGGCTAATAAGCGAATAATTAACAAGGTCAAAATATGGCTCGAGTAGAATGAATAAAATGGGATGTCCGGAAGCTAGAATAAGGTATATGGGCTTGGCATAATAACTGACACTACAGAGTCAATCACCAGGAGACACTAAAACTTGGTTTCGTACTAGTTGCCACTTGTCAGCAAGACGTACTTGCAATCTCGAGAGAACAGATGCTTCTTTTGGGATTGAAACCTATATCATGGACTGAGACGTTGCCACTGAGCGATTCAACCTGTGATTGACTTCCTATAGAACTTAGATATTTTCAATTAATGATTCAAGGAAATTTACTTACAATAATTATATTTTTCTAATATGAAGTTGTGTATAGGTTTATTTATGTAATTTAATACCTACTGCTCACTTCAATTAAAATAAATCTTTCTATTATTATCAAAGCTGTTTTATGAACGACAAGATCTTAAGATCTGTAAATATATATTATCACGTCTGTCACTGTGGTGTCTGCATAATCGCTTAACTGACTTGTGCTTTGCACTTCAACTCTAAACCCAACGACGCGTAATGAGAACACGAAGACTGATTTGAGCTAAGAAAATTAATGAAACTAATATCTGAATACACAAATTTTTATATGATTTATTTACAGTTAGATTTGCATAATTTGAAATAAGTAGTATGTACTATCAATTAATCAATAACCTACTATATAAGTACATTTTCCGTGTCACACAGTTAGGAATCTATAAATAACGGATATAACTAATTGACCAAGCTATACAACTACCCTGTAGTGTCAGATGCTATGTCAAGCCCACAAAGCTTATTCTAGCTTCTGGATAGACCAATCTATCCGTTCTTCTTTAATCACATTTTGACCTTGTTAATTATTTGCTTACCAACCTTGATTGTTTTTATGTAAGTGAATGTGTGTGCATTTCTTATCTTCTCGTCACATGTCTGTAACTTATCTGTAAATATCGATTAACGTTTGGTTAAATTGAGTTGGCTAACACACCTTCTCCACCGCGCGCCATTATGCTTCGTTTCTTCACTCGTTTTTTGAATCAACAATCTTATGCAATCAGAAACGATCTAACTCGAGTCAGATCTCCGGATCACTAAAACTCCTTATCAGTATGTAATTACATGTTACAGATAATTGTTTAAAAAAAATCGATTCCATATGTCATTCGTACTCCAGTTAGTTATGTCTTTACTTCTCTTATTACACATAGTATTAGATAGGTTAGAGTCCCAAAACGTCAGCTAGTATGAATTATGTTGTCGGGTTTATGGTATTCAATCAATGTGTTATAATCTATCCTCAGTAATGATTTATAAAATACATTTGAGTTCAACTACGGCATAAACTGATATTTGTGTCCATATACAGGTCAACTACTGAATATCCAGATAGTAGTTTTATAAATCAGTGAATAATCATTCATCATGATGCGTTCTTGTCTGAGATTCTGTTCAGAGAACTTCAGTTCACCATCTTATACTAAAAAAGAAAAGTAAATGTTAACTCCGTTCAGTCAGAGTTTATTATATGATCAATTGTCTGCTTTTTCATTGATTGAGATCATGAATGGATCAATGTTAGACCATCATTGAAAACCTGGAAGCACTGAATGGCCGTCTCGTCCTAGTATAGGACTCCAGAGAAGTGCGCATATATGATTCCGCACTCGGGATTCGAACCCAGGGCCTTCGGTCTCGTGCGCTAAACCTTTAGACTACTGAGCCGGCTTTTTTGTTGGTGAGTTTCTCTATCTCTAACCTAATTAGTATCAAGTATAGGACTATTATTATAAGGTTTAGTTTTTCACTGTTCACTGATGTCAATTGGAAGATCAGGGAAAACATAAACAGCATCGAATAGCCATTTTATTGCTTATTTAAGTCTATCCAAAAGTTCGTAGAATTTTTTAGTAGTTTCATAGCTAGTGTTAGTTTGCAATTGATTGATCACTGAGTAGTGACACAACACTGTATTTGTCTAGTTTTTAGTGCTAATGAAGTCCTATAAATTAAATTCCTATGTGGCTACTTAGCTGAGTGACTCGACGTCACATTCACTATGTCCAGATGTTGATTGGAGGTAGTTAGTTGACTTATAAATCGTGGGCCTGGATTTCCTGTCATTTGAGACTGATCAATAAAGTTTAAACGTAATCCTAAGAAAATTGATGTTCCCTATGGGTTTCTAATACACTTCACTCAGTTTCACAGTCTGAGACCTTACTACTGAGCTATTTGAGCTATTATTGACTCCCAGAAGAAAGATGGAAATTCACTTCAAATTTAACAGTCATCTTTACAAATCCTATTTCATATATATTTTTTTAATTTTGTAGAATCTCCACAATTTATTAAAATAAATGTCAAATAGGTCTCATTAAGCAAAACTGAATTTTCCAAGAAAATTAAGTGTAATGAAGAGTACAAAATACTGTATATTCTGTAGGTTTTTACTAAGAAAAGTATATCATACGATCGATAGGGTATAGCGTTGACCTCAGAAGGTTTTGAATTTAATCTCATCCCTATTTATGGTTAATTATTGTCATCTAATTACCTTTAAAAATTGTTTACGATTTGTTCATAGTAGATTATACTGAGGATGTATACATTTTCTTAATTTCTTCATATTATAAAATTACCAACTATATAACATTCAGTTCAACAAAATTCATGTTATACTCTTTTTATTGTTTAACCTTTTAAACATTATTAAAGTGATGAATTTCTCTTTATTTATTTATTTAGATTTGTTTACCTAGAAATGATCAGCATCATAATATGTTGAATGAAGTAGTCAAATCTTATCGTCGAAATTTAAGACGTTGTCGTGAATCAATATATCGTTATGGTGTACCTAAAGTAAGATTATAAATAATCTGAATTAAAAATGAGTTTGTTTGTTTTTTCTTCTGAATCTAGAATATTTTGATTATACTATGTTATCTGAGCTCTATATAGAGAACAAATGCATGAAAGGATTTGAATTGTATCATCGAATAGTTATGCTATATCACAAATCCAATAAATTTACAATTATACACATGAATAATTTCCTAGTTATATGTAGTTGTCTATGTAGCTATTTATGCTCTTTTAAGAGACTAAGAATTATTTTTTTCTGGTTAGCGTTTTTTAGCAAGTTAGTTTTCTATGGAGTTAAGGTCGTTAATCCCATGCCCAACCCTCCTCCTTTACCCGGGCTTGGGACCGGCTGTAACTCCAAAAGTGTTACAGGCGAAGTTGGATAGGACATATATTACGGAAGTTACCAAATTGCATCACGAGGCAATTCTTAACTTGGAATCCTGAAGGGAAGCGGAAAACAGGTGGGCCAAAGAACACATTACGTCGGGAAATAGAAGCAGATATGAAAAGGATGAATAACAACTGGAAGGAGCTAGAAAAGATTTCCCAGGCTAGGGTTGGATGGAGAGTGCTGGTGAGCGGCCTATGCTCCTCCATGAGGAGTAACAGGCGTAAGTAAGTAATTAAGTAAGAGACTCAGAAATAACACAGATGTAGCAGTAAAAAAAGACTTGTTTTATTCAGTTGGAAACGGCTTGTATACTCTGTAAATAAGTTTCCTAATTTGACAGTTTACATTATTACTTAAATGGCTGAAATCCTTGGGTTAGATAATTACTTATAATATAGTATACGTGTTCTTTAAATGAAATGTAATGACGAATATAACATGAATGAAATCTGTTATGATTCGACAAAAAAAGTGCTATAGTTTATAATTTTGTTTAAAAAAAAAACTAGATTTCACTATAGAATAAGTCAGATAACAGATTGAAATCATTAGTCAAGCTAGACCACCATGGAAAACCTGGAAGCACTGGATGCGCACTGCTGAGGAGTCCCATACTAGGATGAAACGGCCATCCAGTGCTTCCAGGTTTGCCATGGTGGTCTAGCTTCAATTGACTCATGATTTCAACCTGTGAAATTTCTAAAAATCTCCACAAAACCCATTCTGATCATAAATTAGATTAATTAGAATAAGTATGTCACTGAAATACTTTGATAGACAAAATAATAAAAATCTAGTCAGTAATGTTTGTTTTATACTTTAAACAATAGTGAGAAGAAAAAAAACAAATAATCTGTATATGAACTTATTTTCTTGTTTTTGCCTTTCTTTATGAAAAAGGAATATCTATTTTCCACTGAATCCATTGTAAATCCTCAAAGTGCTGATGGTTTATTATCGTTGGCTAATTCCATTTCTATTTTATACAAGTTACATAATAATAATAATAATAATAATAATAATAATACAAAATCTCCTATAAATGCTTCTTCATCTAATCAAATTCAAAAAGATTTTGATATAAACATAGAAAATCAATATAATACCAAATGTGCACAAAATCGATTCACATCCTCCCCTATACAGCAACAATATTTACAAAAAAATCAATATAATAATAATAATAATAATAATAATAATAATAAAACAGTCAATCATCATAGGATATATCAAATGAATATTTGGTCAAATTATTTATGCTCAGATGTGTAATATAAATAAATCAATAAAATGCAATCATATTAGTTTCCTTTCTTATAGGGATTGTTTTGTTTTGTTTTTGTTTTTGTTTTTTCTATACATCAATTGATGGGTTACATGAATGTTATTGTACAATAGTGAAAATATATTCATAATATTTTTCTATATATACACAATTGAATATTATTGAAAAACTTTTAAGAAAAGAAAACATTTTCTTTTCTTTTTTTTCATTCAATTTCTCAAGTTTAACAGAATTATGTAGAAACTATTCAAAAACAAAAATTTGTTTTCTTTTTTAATGTTGAAAAACAAAAAAAATTGTTACTTTTTATAATTTTCTAATGGGGATATTTTAAAAGTCAGTTTTACTTATTTACTTACTTACGCCTGTTACTCCTAATGGAGGATAGGCCATCGACCAGCATTCTCCAACCCACTCTGTCCTGGGCCTTCCTTTCTAATTTTATCCAATTCTTGTTCATTTTTCTCATGTCTATCTGCATTTCTTGATGTAATGTGTCCTTCGGTTTTCCTCTCCACCTTTGGCCTTGAGGATTTCATGTGACGGTTTGTCTTGTGACGCAGGTAGGTGCTTTCCTCAACGTGTGTCCTATTCACTTCCAGCACTTCTTCTTGATTTCTTCCTCCGTTGGGATCTGGTTTGTTCTTTCCTACAGTTGGTTGTTGCTAATAGTGTCCGGCCAACGGATCCGAAGTATTTTGCGTTGACATCTGTTAATAACCACTTGTATCTTCTGGATGATGGCTTTCGTAATTCTCCAGGTTTCCGCCCCAGTAGACAGTAGAACTGTCTTGACATTCGTATTGAAAATCTAAAAGTCAGTTTTAGTTTCCAAAAATAAAAAACAAAAAATGAAATGAGCATTTAATAAATAGAATTTCATGGATTAGTTGAAGTTACATATTAACATTATTGGATGATGTTGGTCAGCTCAGTGGTTTAGATGTTAAGCGTTCGTAAGTGAGATCGATAGATCCTGAGTTTGAATCTCGCGAGGTGGGATCATGGAGGAGTTCCACAAAAGGACAAAATGGTTGTTGAATGCTTACAGGTTTTCCATGGTGACCTAACTTCCATTGACTCATGATCTTAACTATTGAAATATAATTTTGTTTAGTTCCTAATATCTATTGTTACTTTTGATTAACATTACAAGTTTATGTGAGATTTTATCGAACGTCGGTTAACAATCTAATTGAACATATCTATTGTATCGATAGTAAATATATTTTTGTGATATCCTAATGAGTAGAAAATTGTGCTTCTGACTTTTCGTGACTTGTTGTAAGCCACTACTTCAAAGTAAAGTGAAAAAAAAAGTTTAAATTGCACAAAGGGAACAATGCAGAACATTGTTAGTACAATTAACACCATAATAGGTCTGAGTATGTCAGTGTCAAGTTATTCTTGATCACGGTGAATTTGTATGACCTGATACCGTATTAATTTGTGCACCAGAATGCGGGTTTGATAAATGTATGTATTTATAATATGAAGTAGAAGGGTAGAAACTGAATGTGTGTATAGATTGTGTTGAAAGCAAATAACGTCAGATGTAGTTGTTTGGATAAACAGTTCAGGTTGGATGAATATTCAGGCCTTCTTTCCTATTGAGTGCACAGGCATTTAACATAATGTGAAACGTTTTGACTACTGGTGAGCCTTTTGCATATGAGTCTAATACACAAGATAGTGGTAGTTGGTGAATGAATTCTGCTTCCAGGCTGTTTATCTTCTCAGAATCCTGAAGCCATTGAATCACATAGGTTTTGAACTATGATTTTCTAACTAGAAAAGATGGGTCTTCGGTATCCAGCAACACAGTTGAAGCTCTAATAATCTTTTTCCTCTCTAACTCACTTATTCAAAAACAATCTTGGTACATGAAGGTAGTAAGCAGAACTTCCTTAAAAGAAATTATAAACTGCAGGACGCGTGTGAGTATATCAGGTATGGAAATGGATCATTCCTCAGCCTTACTGCATCTCTGGACGTCTGTGACTGAATTATTATATATGACTTCTTAGCACTACTGTGGACGCTTTTGGTAAGTACTTAAGATTCAACCAACTTGAAATTCACTATTTTCAGTCCATAATACTGATTAATTTATTTATAACCTTTAAGTTTATACCGTAAATACTATAAGGCATAGCACAATACAAATAGACTTATAATTCAATATGTGTGAAAACTTGTCTGGAGTTCAGGGTAATAAACAAAATCATCAAAACAATCAAATCTATAATGTGCTAATCCAATCATATTTAGATGTTGACTTTAGTAAATAGGATAATATGAGTCAGTTAAATAACAATCATGTGAAAAGTTCACAATGTGTGTATGGATGTGTAAGATTGAGTTATCAATGATTGATATCCGGTGTTAATATGTTTTTATATGAAGGAATAAATAAAATAAAATAAAAGTGCAAGTTGAAGGCTGAAAAAATTCTTTCTGAATCATTGAAGTACAAGTAAAATTGAGAATCAGCAAATACATAATTTATTATCAGAAGGGGTTTTGTGGAGATTGTAGTAATTTCAATAGTTGAAATCATGAGTCAATTGAAGCTAGACCACCATGGAAAACCTGGAAGCACTGGACGGCCAGGTTTTCCATGGTGGTCTAGCTTCAATTGACTCATGATTTCAACTATTGAAATTACTACAATCTCCACAACACCCCTTCTGATAATACTCAGCTGCTCACTAGTGACTGACTTCAAGAGGCATTTCCTGGAGTTCTAGTGAGAAGCCGTGACCATTGGAGTTCAACCAGGTCAGTTGTGAGATATCAACTCACTGAAGACAATGGTGTAGGGTGGCTCAATTTCGTGGGTTGGTTGAAGTTAGATATTAACACCGATGGATGCCGGCTCAGTGGTCCAATGGTTAAGCGCTCATGCGCGAGACTGAAAGGCCCTGAGTTCGAGTCTCGCGGAGGGCGGGATCGTGGACGCGTACTACTGAGGAGTACCATACTAAGACGAAACGGTCGTCCAGTGCTTCTAGGTTTTCCATGGTGGTCTAGCTTCAACTGACTCATGAATTCAACTATTGACGCAATTGTATTGCTAAAAATAACTAACATTAATTTCAGTCAAAATAATGATGCATGTGAAATAAACAAGTTGAATAATGAATGGGTCCGATTACTTGTTAACGAATATTTTCTGAGTAGTTGCTAGCTGAATAACATCCTTTCTGTTTAGGCTGTTCTTATTCGCCCATATATACAGCGCTTCTTCTGTCAATTTTTCTTTATGAGTGTTAAAACCTATCTGAAATATTTTTGATCCCTTCAAAATTAATCTTGTGTCCTGTTTCTAACGCATGTAACGCTACCGCAAACTCATTCTCAAGTTTTATTAGATCAACTGAAGATTTGGGAACATTTTCCAAACACTGTTTGTGTTCCTTCAGCCTTACATTCAATTGTTTGGATGTTTCTTCCATATGAACTTCATTACAATCATGACAATTAATCTCATAGACAACATTTTATTGTTTTTCCTTTGAGAACCTATCCTTAACTTTCACTAATGCCGATCTTATGGTGTCACCAGCGCGAAAATACACTCCTAAATCACGCTTGTTTAGAATCTGCTTGATTTCTTCCAATATTTCGCTACGGTATGGGATGACCACGGTGGACTTCCAATCTTTCAGTATACATTCTAGTTTAATCTTTCTTTTCTAATAACCTTCTTGAAAAACTCTTTTGGGTAGTTGCTATCCTTAAGTGTAGACAAAACTCTATTCAACTCAACTTGTTGGTCTTCCTTATCTGTAACGGCTATAAAACTTCTGTTCATTAAATTTTTTACAACATTGACTTTCGTACACTGCGCATGAGCCGAACAATAATCTAAGTACCTCTCAAAATGTGTCGATTTCCTGAATACATTTATTTTCAAGTTATTATTATGTCTTCGTTCAATTAAACAATCGAGAAACGCTAATTTATGGTCAACGGATTCTATTTCCTTTGTTAGCTTAATGCTCTCCGAAATGTTGTTTACGTTTTCAAATAAATCTTCCAAACCATCCTGTTTAACGATAATAAAAATGTCGTCTACATACCGTAACCAGACTTTTGGTGGACATACACTTCTCGCGATAGCATTGATTCCTAGAGAATTCATGAATAAATTCGCTACAATCGAAGAAATCGGCAAACCCATTGCTATACCTTCTTTTTGTCTGTAAAGATCTCCTCGAAATATAAGGTGGATATTAAACATAATTCCAAGCAATTTGTTAACCTCAGATGGATCTAATGGGCATCGTAAATTCAAATCTGAATCAGATTCTAAAAACTATTTTCAGCCTTCAACATACACTTTTGTTTTATTTATTTATTCCTTCATATAAAAACATATTAACACCGGATATCAATCATTGATAACTCAATCTTACACATCCATACACACATTGTGAACTTTTCACATGATTGTTATTTAACTGACTCATATTATCCTATTTACTAAAGTCAACATCTAAATATGATTGGATTAGCACATTATAGATTTGATTGTTAAAACGCTATTTGATTCCGATTATTGTCCTGAAGAAGTCCGGACAAGTTAGCTGGACGAAACGTTGGAATTATTTTAAGTTTCAATCGCTGAGATTATTTCAAATATAATTTTCACTTATAATGTCTTCTTTATACTCAGTGCCCAATTTTTGTCAAACTATTCGTTCTAATATTGACGAATGGTCGTATAGACTTATAATTGTTAATAGCTTGGAAACGAAATTAGCAAAAATACGTTCATTCACGTTGGGTCTTTTTAAAAATATGTTATAGGGCTTTATAAAAATTTGTATTGCGTTTTAATCAATCAAAGTTGACTTAGTGTCTATAGCCTGTATTCTTTAACATGTTTCCAATTTGAAAAGTTCTACAGATTCAGATCTTTTTTTCACCTTTTTCTTTTCTGATTTTCTTTTGTTTTTGTAAAAGAAACTTGTTTCAGTACTTCGTACTGGGAATTCTATATTGTACCAAAGAATAATAATAAATAAAGCCATCAACAATAATAATAATAATCATAATAATAGTGATAAGACCAGTCAAAAACACATTCAACGCATCGTTAGATTTTTCAATTAGACGATTATTATTTTTCCAAAGCTCGTTCATGTTGGATGAAAAAGATATGCATATCATGGAAGTAATTTTATAGTTATTCTCTTTTTAGAGAAAAAAGTGTTATATCCGAGCAAAGATTAAATTACGGGTAACTTCCGAGGACTATTAATGAACTAATATTTTATAAATATTCTTATTGTATAACTATTCAACAAATAGATTACGTATAACTATATTCCTCTTATTATAAGCTTTACTTTGACCTATAATTTATTATTGTACGATTTACAGTTCTTAAACTATGTTCAGTTTATTAACTACTGCCTCCCACACACACACAGTCACTTTTTGGCTTTATTGTGTACACATGTTATTTTCTATTTTACGGTACGTTGTGGTCTGTCTGGTTGATATATAAACCGAGTATGTCTGAAATAAACGATTCGATTCATATTTCAGAAGCTGGTATTGTGTTCTGGACTCAAGTGGACGAGCTAGGAGGACATGGGACCAATAAGGACGCTAGACTGCTCATACCGGTTGAATGTCATTGGTTTTGCACAGTGCGAAGATTTGTATAAGTCGTTTTTTGATTGATGGATAAATCACGTGATAACAAGCCAGACATAAAGTCATAACAAAAAGAAAACGCTTTTCTACCTTCAATAGAAGTGATCAAATTTTATAAGTTAATTGATATCATTTATTCTCAACTAATATATTACAATTATGCATGTTCAACAAAATATTAGGCTTCGAACAATCTGGTCACACATATACTTGTCAAGGCATTTTTATATGAAAATTAATAAAGGTCAATATGTACCTCTGATATGGTGGAAAAAGATGAAAAGTTACTGACTGACACCTTAATAGCAAATGGTTATCCACTCAAGTTTATTAATAGGTGCAAAAGCCAGTTAATGCCAGGACCTCTAATTTATTCAGTGCCAAAGAAAAAGGTTTATATCAATCTACCATACAGAGGCGAATCTGACAGTACAGTTTTAAGGCAGAGATTGAAAGCAGCCATCGAGAATACGTATTATGCTGCTCAGGTGGTAGTGATTGAAAAGTCTAAGGCCATGATTCCTAATAGACCCAAACAATGCACAAATGATTACGTCACATCCCATTGTATTTACCAATTTACATATTTGTGTGGACACACATACATAGGGAGGAGTAATCGAACAATGCAATCAAGGGTCAACGAACATGTGCCCAGATGGCTTCAAAATCAGTGTGTGTCAAATGATCCGATCAATGTAGGAGGTAGAAAACCAAGTTCATCAATAGCAAAACACATAATTGAGACGGGGCACAAAATTAACATTAATACAGCATTTAGAAATTGTCAAGGTCGAATTCTTGAGTTTATTGAAGCCTTAGCTATTCGTAAATTTAAACCCCCCTATGTGTACAAAAACAATTTGTCGTAACCTTGAATTTACCTTTGTAATCCTTAAGTCATTCTATGGCCTAGGATAACGCGACAATTTAATTGGACTTTTATTTGTTTGACCTTTATTAATTTTCATATAAAAATGCCTTGACAAGTGTATGTGTGACCAGTTTGTTCGAAATGTATAGCGTAAATACATCACATTTTTCAGATCAACTCCGTCTTCTCATTATTCTATCGCAATTTATAAAAGGGATTAATTGCTTTAAAATATTAAGCACAAAGGTCTTTAATTATATACTTTAATCTTGGTTTATAAATGTTTCTATGATAGTTTTTTTTTTCCTTCCTTATTCTCCATTATTTGTAACAAACTATTTCATATACAACACAAAAATTGAGATTTTTTCAATGTACAGACTATTTAAGATTAATTCTATTATAAATTAAATGAACCTTGTACTGTCTGTTCAAAATTATTGTTTATATTATAATGTGTTACATATAAATGAATTTCGATAGAACAATGAGAAGACGGAGTTGATCTGAAAAATGTGATGTATTTGCGCTATACATTTCGAATGAATATTTAAAGTTTACGACAGATTTAAATTCTTTTTCCTCAATTTTCATTAAGCAATTAAATCATTTAGTTAAACTAGATATTCAAAGATAAATACTGGATGATCAACTTGGAAATATTTAAAGTTTAGTGGTATCTACTTGTCAAAGAAAGACATTGAGTCTATTTTAAATGCATAACCTACCATTACATGTCTTTTTGATGAGTAATTCATTATTATCTTTATGATTCGCTCAGTTGATTAAATCTATAAGAAAATAAGTAGTCGTACACAGTTTAAGAGATAGTTTTGACTTTTTTTTAGTAGAATAGGTGGTACCAGATTGAGAAGAAAGTAAAAGATTTCTTTCAATGCAGTTTTCATTAACTAAGGTTTAAACAGAAAAGATTTGATATTGTGTATGCGGTTACGCTGATAAGACTAACTTTCTGAAAAAAGGTTGGTAGAATCATATCTGTTATACACGAAAACTTTGCCCTGTTTATTTAATGTAAAGTATTATAGAGGGACAGAAAGTTTAACTATGGGTAGTCCGCTTGGCCTAATATTTACCGACATTTCTCAAGTACAAATTTTAAAAAAATCAAACCCAAACGTGCGATAAAACAAACGTTTTATTTGATATGTGTTTTTGATATTTTCATCATGCGTAATAACTTATACCATGTTGGTCAGTTACTTAGACCTTCAAATTCACATACCATCTGGAGATACAAGACAAAATTCCTTAAACTTGTTCTATTTTCTCATGAAATTTCCTGAACGGGCAATACTCTCAACGATGATAATTAGACAGAAGGCAAACTTATATATTACGTAGAAGTAACAGCTATTTGTCGTCTCAACTCTAATCTGTATATACAAAAGGAACTTTTAGTTTATTACTACTCTTTCACCCCTTATTTCGTCCAAGATGTTGTTCTAAGGAAGTAATCTAAAATATCAAACAAACAAACTTAAGTTCACTTGGTATTGTTTTGCTTGTATCTTCCCATTGAGGTTTAAGACTGCAATTGATCAGTCTGTTATAGACATATGTGCATATTGTGCGTATGTCTCGATATTGCCTTAATTCCCAGAGTGAATATCAACTCTGAGATGCAGGTACATCCAGCTGACGAGTCCCAAATAGGACGAGACGCGCGTCATGAATTCCACTGCTAGCCACTATTCATCTTTGCTTATAAAAAACAAACTTAAGAGTTCATAATTGATCATGTGTCCAATCATCTACTGATGTTACAATTATCAGTCAATAAAGCAGAGAATGGATTTGATGTATGATGGCTGAAGATAGTCTCTAGGTTTTCTGCTCTGTCGGCAGCCTACCTTGACTCACAGTGATATCTGCAATAGGTGTAAGAAGGAAGAACGTCAGGGGTGTCCCAACCAAGACGCGGCGTCAGTTCAGTAAGTCACTTATTCTGTCTGAACCGTTTTGGTGGGTGCGAACAATCTGCTTGACGTCTACGTGGCAGTAACGATCAGTGGTTGAAGATGTTGAGTGACATAACCCAGAATCAGTCAAAATATTATGAGTAGCATATACTTTTTATCTTAATCCCCAATATTCCTTCCTATATATACTTCTATTCCGTCATCTAAAACTGATTTCTCTATGTTTGTTGTTCCTGACTATCATTTTTACTTCAATTATGTCAACTCCTCTGATATTCATTTCATTATGCCAATATGGTATAGCAACTCCTACTAACGTACATTTCTGTCAGGATAAACGTTGATTATGATTGACTAACTGATAACTTTGATAAATAAAATTCTAATCAGTGAATGTATGCGATAAACAGTCTGTTCATAAATAAATTTAATTTCTAATTTGAGAGACAACTTTATTATTTCTATCACTAGGATAACATCTTCCTTAGCTGCCACCTTATTTATCACACGTATATTTACTCATATTTGGTACAACTTGTAAGTATCATCTGATATATTAATCAAATTGGTCTGTAACAAATTATCACGTGTATAGTTCAAGTAGTTTCTTAACACAAAGTAATTTTTCAACAGAGATTCCTCATTGATCATGATCTGTTAGTATTCTTATTCATAATTCGAATGAATGAAATTGATAGGAAAAATTGCCGAATTTCAAATAATCTCATTTAGACTCTTCTATGAATCAAGACACTCAAAGTAGTTTTCAATTTTGATCAGTGATTTTGAAGGGTTTTCAGTCGGATCCAAAATATCTATTTGCACACGTATAAATTTCCAACAATTTCAAGTAAGTATCATGTCTATTGATTGTATGAACCGATTACGTTGAGGTAACTGGGAGAAACATTTTGTGCATATTAATTTGAATTTACAGTGGATCGATATTCGATTTATGCTCAAGAAAATTTGGTTGTTATTTATATATGGTTTATCCGAA